GGTCTTTGGAGATGAAAACATGGGACATGACTGGTTTAGTGAAATTAAAGAATGGTAATAATCACTAACTATAGTGACATATGTAAATTACTGCCTTGGAGGAGAGTTGCTGTCTGGGCTCATTGTCCTGGTGGGTATTTAGTCATACTGAGTGGGCTCTCTGCCTGAATTAAAAAAAAAAAAAAAAAAAAAAAAAAAAGGGACATAGACTCTGGTATCAAACATACCTGTGTAGTCTTTAAAAGGCATAGGAGCGGATTTCAGATAATCACCCACAGGTTTTGAGGAACAGTCTCTTGCCCGGTCTGTGAGTTGGAGTTGAAACCATCTGTCCTCATGTCCAATGTCTCCTCAGGCCTGCTCTCTTTACAACCCTAGGGTATGGGCTAGGCTATACGTAGCTGGCCACACTTGTTTCCTAGCAGAGAAAGGATAAGGGTGGGTGTGGGTGGGAAGGGAGGGGTACAGCTATAAATAGCTTCTAAGAACAATGGATACCATGGAAATGCTTTGGGAGCATCTCCTATAACAAAGGAAGCAAGAGAAGTAGAGATGAGAAAGAAATGAATCATGTCCAAAAATGAAAATATAGATTGTCCTTTTTCACTTTTTCTTGTATATAAATATGTATACTTCTATAAACACACACACACGGCACAAAGGCAGATTGCAAAACAATATATAAAAGACTACTCCATGTCTTTATAGTAAAAGTGATCAATTAGTATTGATCTCCCATAGTTTTCCTGCAAATATATATGTATATACATATGCATGCATAAATCTTAAGGGGGAAAAAGCCTGCACTTTGTATATATAACTTAATATTAATGATAGTTATCTCTTGGTGTGGAATTATGGGTTGGGTTTTTTTTTGTGTGTGTGTGTATACACACACACACACATTTATTATTTATTTGGATACACTGTATAGCGACTGTGTAAATATTAAAAAAGGATTTTTAAAGAAAACATGACAATTTAAGATATACTTCTGCATTTTTCACTTGCAAATACACACAATCATTATAAGACTGAATTATAATGACATCAATTTCCATTTACCCAGAAGGTACCTCTCGGTGCATAAGTTAGACCTTAGGCAAATTAGTGATTCTCCCAAACTACAACTCAGCTGCCACTCGCTCAAAATTATATTTCTCTGCCTGCAAGATACAGAAGGGATACTTCTGGGTCCATGTGTATACTACAGCTACCCCAGAGCTTCTCAGGGAGGCAATGACTAACAGAAGTTGGGTACATACAGCCCCAGATTTGTGGCCAGGAAGTGGTGTGCACTCGGTAATCACAAAAACACAGATCCCAGTTAGTCATAAGGTCTTGGACTGGGGCCCAGGTATGGGTATTTGTTTAAAAAGCTCCCCAGGTGATTCTAATGTGCAGCCAACATCAAGAACCATGGCCCTAATGGATTAATTTACTAAGGGGTTATTTGAATATAGCCTTCGAGAGAGGTAAAACAAAAGCAGACAGGATGTGGTTGACCAGGGCCAAGGGAATGCATGGCCCTAGGCCTTGTGAAAATATGATTTTGCAGACAGAATAAAAGAACATGGAGTGTGGGGATGGGCAGTTCTTTCAAAAGGTAGTGAATGGTGAATGGGTAGCCCTCTCCCTCAAGTTCACGGTAGAATAATCTCTGATCAGATATTTCAAACTGGGGAAAATGTTTAATGGTAGCAACTTGTTGTCAGGATACTGGTATCTCACAAAATCCGGCAGAACCCAATTTTGATGCTGATGCCAGGGTACTGAAGTTCTCTTGGCACCAGAGGCTTCCAGACTTTTCCATTAGAGAATACACACTGACCCACTAGACCTCAGCATAACAAATCCCACAGTAGAGCAGTGGCCCTTTGAATCATTTTACTCTGCTTTGGGAACTCATTCCACATGGATTTCTGTGGAACTTCTTCGGTTGTTTTCTGTAGATTTATAGTGGGCCAAAGCTAGGGACCCCGCAGGGATCAATCTTCTGGTCATTGCCTTTCTTTTTTCCTACCAGGAAACTGATAGGTTTCATAAAGCAGAGACTAAGGAGTTGGACACAAGTTTCTTAACTCCCTTCAAGTACTCCTGAAATTCACTACTATTTCTGATTTGGAGATATGACTTGCCTCCCTGTACTGGCATAAAGGGTCATGTTTTTACTCTGAACCAGTGATAATGTTGATTTTATTCATAGTGTGTTGAAATTATATTATTTATTGATATGGATCATGTGCTAACCCTAAGCTATTGGCTGGGTATTTATCATGTTTAATCTCAGTAGCAATGTTCAAGGATGGTATTATTCCCATCGTACTGTGGCGGACACTGTGGTCACACAGAGGGAATGAAGACCATTCAGGATTGAAATCCTGTTCTAATGCTGAGTGTCTACACTAATTCCACTATGCCATTGCCAATAATGACACCAGACCTGAGTCACAGGGGGAAATGCCCCACCTCTCCTGCCTTATGAGCCCTTGTGGCCTGAGTGTTTCTCATTACCCTAGTTAGCCCTGGCTTTTCTCTTTTCTTTGATACTTTTAGATAGAGCAAGCTGGGGAAGAGCAGAGAGAGAGAGGGAGAGAGAGAGAATCCCAAGCAGGCGCCACACTGTGAGCACAAAGCCCCATGCAGGGCTCAAACTCATGAACTATGAGATCATGACCTGAGCTGAAACCAGGAGTTGGAGGCTTAACTGACTGAGCCACCCAGGCGCCCAGCCCTGGCTTTTTAGCCCCATTCGCTCCTTGTTCCTTTAGAGCTGTACCTGGAAGAACTCTCACTCCAGTTTTTTTAATAGCCTGGCTGTTATTTAATTTATTTTCTGAGAAGTGGTTCTGTATCTCACCTGTTTTTAAAGGAGTTTCATTTTGCTACCCAACATAATCTTTGTTCCTGTGGTTTAGAAGGAAGAAAATGCTGTTAAACTCAGCCAGAGTCCTAAACAGATGTTCCGCATGTCCCTGTGTGTTGTGTTAGCAATGCATCACTTCCAGACGTCTCGGCCTGGCCTGCCGGCGTCCTGCGCCCATGCCAAATGCTTTCAGATAGCCTGCAATAAGCAAAACCCAAAGTCAGGTTAAAACCACCAAAGTCACTGGATGCTACTCCTTGAGTGCATTAGCATCTGGACTTGGGGAGGCGCCAACCTGCTCTCAGAAAAAGTAGCAGCACTGAATCTGTGCAGAAAGGGGGGGTGCAGGTGTTGTCTGTTTTAAGACACCTGACTGTAAAAATCTGAATGCGATCGTGCCCACTTGAGCAAATAATTATCGTTTATGAAGATTTTTCATTTAAAGAGAGATTTGCCAGAAATCATCCTTTGCCAGTTAACTTTCTCCTTATAATGAGAAAAAAACAAAAATAGCGGTCCATTTGCAAGAGTGTGACCTACAACTTTGAAAAGCTACTTCCATAACAAATCAGACGGCAGGACACAAAAGGGCTGGGTTCAGTAAAGCACACCACAAAGGTTTTCTGTCAAAATTGGTATTAAGTGCAGGAGTGGGTTAGGGGGACACATATCTGGTAGAGGATTCAGAATATAGCTGGGTCTGTCTGCTTGGGAGGGGCTATGGTTTAGTCAGAGAGTATTTATGAAGTTCTCCAGTATATACCAGGCTGTATTTGATTCCGTGAAAAACATAATCCAAATTGACAGTGTTCCCCCCCCACCCCCACTTGGCTCGCCTTCAGGCCGGTGGAGGTAAGGGACCCTGCAAGGTGACCTCTCAGGGTCCCCTACCGTAGTGTGATTCTGTGAATGATGAGCAGCAGCCTCGAAGCTTGTCATCTGATCATGTTCCATCTAAGTCGGAAGTGGGGGACTGATTAAAGGGAGGTCACCCCATGCAAATCTTCTAGAATCTTGCATTGGTGACCAAAGCACAGTCTTCTCAGGTTTCTGTGTCATGGTGGCATTGTGTTGGCCTGGGACAGCCAGGAAATGGGGACTGGGAAGAAGAAAGACTATAGTCGAAGGCGAAGTTAGCCACAGGCACCAAGCCCCAGAGTGATTTACAAGGTTATTCAGTGATGGCAGACAGGACAGGAGAGAGTGGCTGGAGGGCAGTGGGGAGAAAGGATAAAAAGATCTCACCTGAGGGGCACCTGGGTGGCTCAGTCAGTTGAGCGTCTGGCTTTGGCTCAGGTCATGATCTCACGGTTTGTGAGTTCGAGCCCCGCATCAGGCTCTGTGCTGAGCCTGGAACCTGTTTCAGAATCTGTGTCTCCCTTTCTCTCTGCTCCTCCCCTGCTCGTGCTCTGTTTCTTTCTCTCTCTCTCAAAAATAAATAAACATTAAGAAAAATTAAAAAAAAAAATCTCACCTGAGCCTGAAATGTTTTTTTCTCTGTCCACTTCCTGTGCTTGCTGCTGTGATTACAGAATGACACTGTAATGAAGAGAGATCGTACAAATAGTAACATAACAGAGCAAGGAAGGAAAACGATTTATTAAAAGCCTCCAACAAGCTCATAATATTGCACCCATACTCCACAAGAATGGACAAATGGCGTGGTTCGGACCTTTTTATCCAGGCTATGATAACTGCTAAGCCAACGTAGGATCCCTTTAAATGTGTATTCACCAGCTCACTTTTCAATCATCACATACAGTGAAATAGCATCCCTTCCTTACCTGAGCAGTCTTCTGGCTGTAGAGAAACAAGGGGACATGTTGCCAGCTCAGTGCTCTCATCATGCTGATAAGAATCTAGCAAATGCAACAGAGAGAAACTCTAGTAAGCCTGAGGGGAAATTAAAAAAAAAAGAGAGAGAGAGAATGAAGCAATCACCCTAGAAAAATATTGCAAAGGAGAAAAATAAGAAATTAGAAAGGAAAGGAAAAATATGGACAACATAATCCATATTGTCTGCAAAAAACAGAGAAAATGTTTCTTGTATAGAGGTGGACATAAAGTGATATAGGAAATCTATCTGCTCCATGTAAATTTATTAAATGAAACTCTCTTTTTCTCTTTCTTTTAGATAAAAAACCTCTTCATGAAATAAAACCCCAAAGTAAGTTATTTTTCCTCTTGTGAATATAATTTATTCTCATATTTGCTGCCTTACTGTTGTATTTGTTTAGGAGCCAAAGAGAATGGGAGGTTGTAGGAAAAGACCCAGGGTTTTCAGGGCACCTCCTCCTTGGGTTTGGGTCACAGATCAGAGGTTGAAATCGAAAGGACATATACACACCCCTCCCTCAGAGTAGGAGTAAATCTCCCCTGTGATGCTGCCTGCCTCAAAGTCCATTTCTCTGCAAATGCCGTCTAGGATTCTTATTGCTGAGCAGATTGGTAGCATTAAAGTTAATAAATATTTGCCAGTACAAGCTTTCATGAGAGCAGCCTTGGGCAAGAGCCGAGACTGACTCCGAGCCTCTGCACCTAGGAGGAGACGGGGGCGCCTAACACGCAACCGAGAAATCCATGGCAACTTGGTAGGTTAGAAACCAGGATTCTACAGTGAAATCAGCAGAAACTGAAAATGTTGGTGGCCGTGCCAGTTTGAGCTCCCCACACGCAGGCTTGGTTCCCGGGAAGGCCCGCCTTTGCATTATCTCTATCTTACACATCCAGTAGATTTGGGCATAACAGCACAGTGAGAATGGTTAGCATCTCGGCATTTGACCCTAAGGTTTTCAGTCATGGCTGAACTTTAGAGCCACCCGGAGGCCTTTTAAAAACCCCAGGTCTCAGGCTGTACCCCCAGACCAATGGAATCAGAATTGGGGTGGGTTAGAATCCCTATATTTTTGTTTAGGATTTTAAAACTTTAATGCATAGTTCAATATGTAGGATTTTTTTTTTCTTTTTCTTTTTCCTTGAAGTATATATGATTATGTTCGTTTGGGGGTATACAACATAGTAATTCAACTTTTATGTACATTAGGAAATGATCACCATGATTAAATCTAGTTACCGTCTATCACCATACATAGTTATGACAATATTATTGATGATATTCTTTATGCTGTACTTTATATCCTGTGACTTATTTATTTTATAACTGGAAGTTTGTGCCTCTTAATCCACTTCACCTATTTTGCCCATTCCCCACCCCTCTGGCAACCACCAGCTTGTTCTCTGTATTTATAAGTCTGTTTCTGTTTTATCTGTTCATTTGTTTTGTTTTTTTAGATTCCATGTATAAGGGTAGGAATGCTTATTTTTAAAAGATCCTCAGACTCCAATGTGCAGCTTGGGTTGAGAGTAACTATCTTAGAAAAATATTTCTCAAAAAGCAGATCAGCAACCGTGTGCATCGGAATCTTGGGGTTTGGTGGGAGCTTTTAAATATACCCCATCTCAGAATAGGACAAATGAATTCGAATCCTCGGCATACGGGGTGGGGGGGGAGGGGATGGCGGGGCAGGGATGTGCCTGAGAATCTACATTTTCATATGTTCCCCAAATGATTCTGAAGCTCTCAGAAGTATGTACAGCATCCTAGGGAAACCTCCAGAAAGAAGGGCCTCAGCAACACAGCTCTTAGCAATAGAAGAGTTACTGAGCTGCCCGGTTGGTTTATCAATAAGCTTGTAGAAGGTGTCCTGGCCGGTTATCTCCCATTTTCGTATAAAATGAATGACTTTTGATCTTTTAAATCCTAGGGTATTATAATTCAGATAGCTTGGGAGAGCTAATAGTTTTTATTAGCTAACTTCTTGGAAGGAATTAAGGATTCCTTCTTGTGAGGTTAGATGGAAATAGGAGCTTTGGGACCGGGGTCAGGAGACATGAAGAAAGATCCAGGAAAGCCATTGTTCATACTTTGTTATGTTGCTTCAGGCAGGCTTGAGATACAACAATGCCGTTACCTGCAGAGTCTGAGAACTTTGCAGAACACCCAAAAACAAATATCCTTTTTTTTTTTCCCTGAGGTCCACTGCCCATAAAGTCATTATTGGTACTTAGCTAGTGGTCCGCTGACCTCTTGCATGCCTGATTTTGAATTCAGAGAGGTTGGAGGTGGGGAAACCTGGTTGTAGATGTATGTGTATGTGTGTACGTTGAGGGAGGGAGGAAGCAATCGGGTTGGTGAATATTTGGTGTGTGCCTCTGTCCAGATCTCAGGGTGAGAGCTGGAGTAAATAGACCCCCAGCTGCCTCCCAGTGACATAGCCAAGCCACCCACTGATCCTCACGTATGGCACCAGCAAGATCATGAGTACCCATGTTGTGGCCACCGTGAGAGTTACTTAGAAATGTGTTTTTTAAAAATTAATTTCATGCTTAGTTTGTGAGTCCTGTGCCATTCTAATTTGGTTACATCTGTACTTCCAGCCATAAACCCCACACTAGCTATTTCTAGCCCTCAGGGACTCCTGAATTAGTTTTTGCTTGGGGTTCTCGCTCATGAACACCATGCTTAATTGCTGGATACTGCCACGGAATCACTTAAACTGTTTTAATTTGTGATTTCCTAAAAATAAAACCTGAACAGAATCAATGTGATTGCAAAAGGCTCCCAGAGGAGTCCAGCCGGGGTTCTGTAAAATGCATGGTTAGGAGTGCGTTATACAAATTCAGGCTGCGGTTGTTCAGTGAAAGAGGGGCTTAGTTTAAGACTACATGAATCATCACTGATGCAAAATCAAAGTCAATTATGAAGATAATTGAGAAACAACCTGTTCCTGTATATAGCTGTGCACATGATTCTCCACAAGGCCTGGTGGATAGAAAACATCACCCAGAGCCTCGCACGTGGTCCTCCGTGAACGGGTGGGCGAAGGAGCGAGCTTTGAGTTGCAGGAAGGTGTAAGGAGAAAGTGAAGTCTTAGGATAACTGCTGGCAAGTCATAATGACAAACTGGGGGAAATATGTGCACCGCATAGCTCATGAAAGCACTTATTGTAAATGAGATAATTTAATCAATTATGTTTCCTAATGTACTAAACCGAATGTTTCATTTTCTGCTTCTGCACATCTTAAATTATCTTCAGGTGCTTTATGAGATTTAATCATAGTTAATAGAAACTTCATTACCATCAAATGTGCTTTCAATAAATGTTGTGTAACAATGTCAGGAGGTGCAGTAAAATATAGTAGGTTCTGAATGGCAAACACGCACCCCCAGAGTCAGACTGAAAAACGGTTGCGTTCAGACAATGGGGCTCCTTGGAGGCTTGGGGCCGCGGCTTTCCGAGAGGCAGCGGCTTCCTGAGGAGTGACTCATTCAGCACGTTCACCTTAGGGATGAAAAGGATTTCTCTGTCCCCAAAAGAAGTAACCCAGGACCACACACACAGCCTTCTCTTCATCTCCTTCCCGTATAGTTGTTTTGCACCGGGTGCCGATGCACGCACGCTAAGCACAAACCCAGCGAACACTTGCAGAGTCAGCCATTTCCAGGACGGCTCCAGATGAGTGTCTCCCAATTACTTGAATCTTAACTGTTTCAGAATTGAATCTCTCCTTCTCCGCCCCTGTCCTTAATCCTGTCCTGCTTCCCATCTTCTCTAGTTCGCTCAGTACCTCACCATCTCTTCACTTTGTCCACGTGCAAAACTTGGACACGTTTTCCTTTCTCCTACTCGTTACTCATTAAGTCCTTACAGTCTGTTATTCCATCCAAACAGAGTTCATGTTCATCACCAACTCTCCGTTTTCACACTGCCCCTCTCTGTCCCTCCATTCACTCAACAGCTGTTGACTGAGCACTTACCATGCTGTAGGAAGCAGTTGTAGAGAAGCGGCCCTGAGAGGGACAGGTACAGATTCTGCTTCCACAGAGCATACAGTTTGAGTAGAGATGGATGGATGTAGGCAAACCAGAAAACATATAGTGCTAATGGTCAGTGTTGTGAAGAGAAATAAAGCAGGGTGAGACACTCCAGTGGGGCTGAAGGGAACGTTGCTTTTTTGGTAGAAGGTGTTCAGAGCAGATCTCTGTATTAAAATTGCATTTAAGAAGAGACCTCGGGGGGCACCTGGGTGGCTGGGTGGCTGGGTCGGTTGAGCATCTGACTCTTGGTTTCAGCTCAGGCCATGATTCACTGGGCAGCCAGAGAGATCAACCCACGCCGCACCTCCCCCTGACAGCCAGAGGAGCCTTCTTGGGATTCTCACTCTCCCTCTCTCTCTCTGCTCCTCCCCTGCCCGTGCACGCTCTCTCTTAAAATAAATAAACTTAAAAAAAAAAAAGAGGAGACCTAGAAAAAAAAAAAAAACAGAAAAGACAAACAAACATTCTGGATGTCTGGGGAGAGAGCGTTCCAGACAAAGGGAACACCAGATGAAAAGGCTGTGAGATGTGAACGTGCTTGGAATGTCTGAGGAACAGCAGGCAGGACACCTGGAGCAGAGTGGCAGAGGGAAAGGTCCTAATAGTTAAGACCAGAGAAGTGGGATGAGAGAGGAAACTGCCACACGGATTATAGGCCGTTGTCATGACTCTGACCTTTACTCTGAACCCCTCTGAGGATTTTTTGTCATAGTGACATGACTTAGTATTTTCAAGGATAAATTCTACCTGCTGTGTTGAGTATAAATATATAGGGGATCAGAGCGGAAGCAAGACCTGTTACAGTGATGCATTGTAACAGTAATCAGTAAGAGTAATCTAGGCTATTACAATACCTAGGCTCTTCCAGTAGCAAAGTCCAAGATGATTGTGGCTTGGGGTAGACACAGGGCATTAGATATTGTAAAAATGGGTCATCTTGGCATATCTATTGAAGGCAGAAAAGATTTTTTGATGGGTTGGATATTGAGCATGAGAGAAAGAAAGGTATCAGGCATGATTTCCAAAGTTTGGCTTTGCAGCTAGAAAGATGGTGTTGCCATTGCTGATCCAGAGAGAATGTGGTATAGCAAATCTACACAGGGGATCAGGAGTTCAGCGTTCCTGACACTAACTTTGAGATACCTATTAAACATCTAAATGGAGAGGTTGAGCAGGCAGTGGAATTATAGGAGTCTGGAGGTCAGAGTCCTGGCTGGTGACATAAATCTGGGGCTTGTCAGTGTCCAGATGATATTTAAAGCCGTTAGGTTGAAAAAGATCCCCGGAT